CCGCCGCCTCTGTAGGCGGAGCCCGCACCGCCCCCCGCCGGCACGAGCTGCCTGTGCGCTGCCTCCCCCGCAGGGGGCGCTGCAGTCACCCCCGCCCCTGGGTCCCGCCCGAGGGAGGTGCCTGCCCTGGCCCAGCCCCAGCCCCGGGGGCGGTGTCACAAAGCCCCGCTCCCCCTCCCACTCGTCCCGCCCTCCAGCAACTTGTCCTCCGCGCCCGCCAGGGTCACCTGCGCCTCTTGCTCTTGGCTAAGAGTGTCGCAGAAATCTGCACCAGTGGCATTTGCGACACTTGTGTTTTACCTTGTATACTCCTGCAGTTGATAACTTATGCTCCTTACCTCATAACTGACCGTGCTCTATTTCCAGACCGGTAACTATGTTATTTAGCAGGGGCCGGAGTTGAACCGCCCCCTCCCTGCGTCAGGCGGGCCCTGACTGAGCGCGTGACTCAGTCATTGCATGTGTAACACAGTAGTCAGCTTCAGTAACAAGTTAAGCGTCAATTAACATCACAACTCAACAAAAGGAAGAGTCAATAAGAGTCAATGTAGCAGCCGGGAACTCCCTCAAACGTCACTGTTAAAGGTACAGAAGCCCCGGGTTGAACTAATCAACGCTGGAGACCGACCCTTGGGGCTGAAATACCCCCATCAACTGCTCCCAGAGCCCTATTCATCACCGCAGTGAATTCATCAAAATCATCCACGGACTCGCCGACGTGACCCCGGGGCTGACAGCTGCCATCCTACAGCCACCAAGGGGGATGTCCCACGAAGTCAATGACCCCTGGATTGGGTAAACCTGAAAATTGAGAAGTCACCAAAGTCTGCCAGAGAGGGATAAAAGGCAGCAAAGAATGACCCCCAATGGCGCCCTCTTTGACCTGATCAGCAGCCTGCCTGTCCAGCCGGAAGGACCAGCCAGCGACCCTCTTCTGAAGCAACATCGCACTGAAAGAAGCCTTGACTGGCCATTGATGGCAGACTCCAGCGCTTGGGGACAGGTATATCTTGAAACCGGTGCTTAGTATTCATAGCTACAGTGCATGTGTTTGAAGGGATCAGCCCCAAGGTTTATGAACTGACTTTTGCATCCATTTAATAAACTAGAATTTTAAGGATCCCGAGTTGGTCCTTTGTAGCCAACAAAAGTAATGTAGTTGTTACACATTACCGAACTGCAGGAGAGGGCAGGGAGTAGGCACACTGGGCTGAGGACAGAGGCAGACAAGGGTTTTTGGGTGAATCCACGCTCTTGTATCCAGCCCGTTGGAAAACTTCTTTGCAAGCTTTCAGGTACAAACGCCTCTTAGTCAGGCAGAGGAAACATCTGTAGTTGGTGTGTGCTCTTCCTGGGGTGGCAGAGGTCAGGCAGGTTATAATGTGACATAAATCCAATAGCTATATTTAGTCCATTAATTTTTGTATCCAGATTGATAAAGTAAAGTTTGGAGGCTGGTCTGTGAAAGGCGTTTTGTAAATTCCCTTTGAAGATTAGAACTGAGATTGGAGAGAGGGCAGTTGTATGTGAGACATGTGCCCCCCACAAGTAATTGGGTATTTTTGTCTTTGATGGATTTTCAGTGCATGTTCATTCTAGTGCGCAGTTGTTGTTTGGTTTCTCCCACATTTTCCATCAGGGCATTTAGTGCACTGGATGAGGTATATTACATTTCTGGAGGTGCCACTGTAAGATCCAGGAATGGTGATGGCTCTGTTGTGGGGTATAGTAATTGTGGGGGTGGTGGAGATGTGTTGGCAGGTTTTACATTTCTTGTGCCAGCATGGTCTGGATCCATTCAGTGCGTTTTGGGCAATAGGAAGCTTGCTTCTGGTGATGAGGTTAGTGAGGTTCAGTGCTTGTTCCAAGGCTAGGATGGGTGGCTCTGGGAAGATCTCTTTATGAATTGGGTCTTCTTCAACTATGGATTGCAACAGTTTGAGGATCTTCTATATAGACTCAAGGGAGGGGTGATATGTCATAACTAGTGGTGTGCGATTCATGGGGGTTTCTTTCTGTACTGCAGGTGGCTCTTTCAAAAGTGAGATCTGTCTCTCTGGAGGGGTGTCCTTGTTGAGTGAAGGCCCTTTTGAGATTGGTGAGGTGACAATCACAGGTGTTCTCAGTGCAAAATCGGTGGTATCAGAGGGCTTGGCTGTATATTGCAGCTTTCTTAGTGTGTTTAGGGTGATTGCTGGTTCTGTGCAGATATGTATGTTAGTCTGTGGGCTTCTTGTATACAGTAGTTTGTATTTTACCATTGCAGCTGGTGATCATGTCTAAAAAGGAGCTGTTGGTGCTGGAGTATTCGAGAGAGTCTGATGGAGGGGTGATGATTGAATTTCTGATGGAGCAAGTTTTCAGTCTGGATGATGACAGCATTATTGATATATCTTAAGTACAGCAAGGGTTTGATGGCGCAGTCCTTGAGGAATTCTTCCAGGTGACTATACTTAAGATACATCCATGACATCTTCATCATTTGGACTGAAAACCTGCAATCTCTGATTGTTGACTTCCATCTAAAACTCAATCAATCATCACACCTCTATCCAACTCTCTCTTGAATACTTCAGCATCAACATCTCCTTTTTAGACATGATCACTATCCAGAATAATAAAATATAGACCTGGGTGGCCAGTTACTCAGCCTAGGAGCCACATCTGATCCTCCACTGAAGTTCAAGAGCTGGATGTGGCGGAAGAGGGGGACTGAGTGGCCTGGTGAGAGAGCGGGGGAGGGTGGCAAGTGACCCAGAGTCAAGCTCCTCCTGCTTTCCCCACGGGGAGCATGCCCCAGTGTAAGCAGTGTGGCTGCAGCCCCCACCCCAGGAGCCGAGCACCTGAGTTGGCAGTCCCAGAAGTGGGCAGGCTTCAAAAAGTGGAGCAAGAGCTGCAAGTACTGTCCCGGCAAGCCACATGCCGCTTGCAAGCCATGGTTTGGCCACCGCTGATGTAGACCACAATATACAAGAAACCCACAGACATACATATCTGCACAGAACCAGCAGTCACCCTGAACACATTAAGAAAGCTGTAATATACAGCCCAAACCCTCCAATACCACTGAATTTGCACTGAAAACATCCATGATTGTCACCTCACAAATCTCAAAAGGGCCTTCACTCAACGAAGACACTCCTCCAGAGAGAGAGATGGCACTTTTGAAAGAGCCTTATATGATTGTTTTTGTAGTTTTGGACAAAATTAGATAAGCTTTGTTACTGAAACAACTGGATAGAACAGTGGTCCCTGACCTTTTGGCTTTACAGGCCAGATGGGTGAGGTGGGCTGGATCCAGTCTGTGGGTGTGATCTGACATGCATAGGGCTAGAGCTGGATCTAGCATGTGCCAGATCCAGCCCTGTCTAGAACATCATATCGTGGCCCTGGCCCCAGATCAGGCCTCACTGCCCCAGTCCCCCGTATACTAGGTCAGGCCTCACAGTCAGGGCCGTCCCTAGGGAGGAGAGAATTGGGACTGCCCCAGGCCCTGTGTTTTAGGGGACCCTGCGGAGCTGGGCAAAGCAGGGTCCACACCGCGCTGCCACCAGCTTCGTGTCTGGCCACTCAGCAACTCCCACCCCCCACCGCCGGCTTCTTTGCATCCAGGGGCAGGGCCCTGCACCCTGCTCGGGTCACTTCTGCCCACAGTGCCAACTCCAGCACTGTATGCACTGGATCAGACTGACTGCCCCAGCCCCAGTGGGATCCTGTGTGCAGGGCCATATCATTTGGCTCAAGAGGCTTGGAAATTTGGCAGTGGGAAAGCAATGGCAACATTGATTGCCCCCACCCCCATCCACCATCAAATTCCTAGACCTTTGTGGACCAGATGCCACAACCCTCCAGGCTAGATTTCCCTCATGGGCGGAGGACTGAGTATCACCTGGTACAGAATAATAACATTTAAAAAAAAGTACACTTGTATAGATAATAAATTAATCAAAACAGATTGTTGTACTGAGGATTTATTCAACTGACAGGAACAGTAAACTTTAAAAAATAAACCTACAAAATGGATCAATTGAAAGAGGAGTCTTGGAGTTTCCAGTGTCCTGTATAGTAAACATGAAAAAAAAAAGAGAGGGGTGGAATAGATATTTCTAGTGCCATTATCTGAAGCAAAGCAGAAATTCCACAATGCGTTCTATGCAGGGCCGTCCCTGGGGGAGGTGGGGGGGGTGAATCAGGGTGACTGCCCTGGGCTGCATGCTTTGGGGGACCCCAGAGTGGGGCAGAACAGCAGCTGGGTGGAGCAGCAGCCTTCCACACACCCCCATGCTGCTGCCACTGGTGGCAGCAGCAGCTTCTGCGGGTATGGGTCCCGTGGGAGTGGGGCCCCATACAGGCTGATCTGCCTCGGGCCCCGCACCTTGCTCTAGTCAACTCTGGTTCTATGCATGGTTAGTTTAATAGTTTTGGAAAGGGCCAAAGTGACAGCACTGGAAATTTAAATGTTTCTTTTTATCCACAGAACACACAGCACAAGCAACAATGCAAGCTTTGTTACACTCAACCTCTCTTTAGACCGTCACTTTTGGAGTGAATGGTTATTCAGTCCCCGGCCTTGCTGCTCACTTCTGTAAGAGTTACCAGTGCATTAGTGGCATGGGAACACTAACCTAGTAGGAACTAGGCTGATCCTAATAAAATAAAGATACTTGACATGAACTGGGATTACAGCATATAAAGTTAAAATGCTCCTCATGCATCTACAAACTGTCAAGTTTCAGATTCCATCTCAACTTAATTACATAGCTATCATTTGAATATCTGAAATAATTCAGTAATTATAGCAGCAGGCCAATACATTCCAATGTTTTTCTTCTACTAGCTCTAACAATCAAAACTTATGTTATATAAACAATATATTTTGTAATACAAGTACAGTTTTTATGGCATTTGCTATCTATACGACTGCCTGAGAATCCATAGTTGCACCTGTCCTTTTACACTATCCCCAAAACACCCACATCAGCCTCATATTTCTGCATTAATACAAAGATTTTGCAACAAAACACTACAATGTTAGAGTGAGGAGCCAGGCATTTTGGTTTCATCTCAGGAAATTAACCAATTTCAAAATTCTTCCTCTGCATTTAGAGTATGAGAATTCTTTAAATTCTTTAGTTTTTCAATGGCAGAAGATATGGAAATCTCTCCATGAACCTTGTTGTCTCTTGTTCTCACATTGACAGCATTACTTGCTTTTTCCTTTTCCCCAACCACTGCAAAAGACACATTGCATGAAAACATTAACTGATGGGCAGGCATGTGATTTTTTTTAAGAGTAAGAAATCATTAGGAAAAAAGAAACTCACAAAAATTCTGGCTACTGCTTTTTATTACCATATAAAGACCCCACTACTTAAACATAAAATTCATGTTCAGATATCCATCTATCTATAATCCAATATCCATCCTTTTAATTTTTTTTTTAAGAAAAGCCATTTCTGCTTTTGATAACTCAATAACTTCAATTCAATCTCACTGTTTACAGCATAAAATTTAGTGTACATCAAATTTGTACAAAATGTTAAAGTATGTGCAATGTTCAGAATCATCAAAATGCTACAATTACCTAAAATAAAATTATATTGAGCCAGCTGTGCGTTTCTTATTTTCTTGTTTAATGTGCAACTCTGGTCTCCATCAACATCAGCCATAAATCCTGCTTCAAAAAATTCACTACAAACCTAGAAGAAATTTGAAGTTTTATTAGTATTACAGTATACGTAGATGGATGAAATACAGACTGTGACCTTGACCCTTCCCTTCCAGTGAAATGACTAATTTGAGGGAGGTTAAATAAAGTTAAGTGCTTGTTAGCAGTTACGATAAAGTTTTACAAAAGTCAACACTATTCAACAAGCATATCAAATAGTTGCTGACTCCAGGGAAGTCTCACACCTGCATTTCCAAATGTTTCTCTGACAAAAAAAGAGACAAGGTAATGCTTTAGACAGTCAAGTGTGTGGGGGGCATAAAATAAGCTAGTTTATTCTCTTAGTTTAACATACAACCTTATAATGAAACACTGGTTACCACACAAAAAGGTACCTACTCCTGGAATGATTTTTTGTAAATGACTGAAGAAGATAAATGTTATTAAATTACTGAAATAATTAGCAATAGAGCCCAAAATAATGTTAATGTTAAAGTGATCTGTGTTACATATCCTTTTCTTCAAAATATTAGCTAAGTTGTCAACGCCTTCTAAAAAAATGGTTTTCAACTTTGAAAAGTATACCTTCAAAATTATTATTATTATTTTTTTAAGTATTTACAATTCTGTCCTGGAACTGAAACATTTTTTTTTTAAAGTAACTTTATTTTTATTAATTATTGGATACTTTTGAATGCATCTTCTCTTACCTGATGGGCATATTCCTCACAAGTAGGCCCCACTGGAACAACCATGACCTGCCGAGGGGAGAGCCAGAAAGGCCTGGCAAATATAACAAAAATAAAAACTCGTATATATATTTTTCCATTTATGCCAATACTCATATTCTCCAATAAATATATTTGTAAATTACTCTGGTGTTATTTTAAATTGAATTAGACATGTAGGGTAGGAAATGATTTTTATTCAATTCTTCCTAATTCATAGTGGCAAAATATATCAATACAGCATTTTCATTTAACTGAATAAAATCCATGAAATTTATTGATAAAGCTGAAAAAACATCATAAATCCAATCTTCCTTAAATATGGATATTTCAAGGGTGTCCAGATGGTGGACTCGTAATTTATTGCTCTACATAATTTTCTTACATATCGTAAAAATTAAAATGAATGAATTTGTAACCGAAATAATGAAAGATGAGTGAAATGTAGCAGTTGAAATATGTATAATACATTTAGAACATGTCTTTATTTCCATGTTATTCTATATGTAGTTTTATTATAAACTCCTAAAATTAAATTTATAACCTTTCATCCGAGTCCACAGTTGTGTAACACTGTTAGTCTGCAAAATCCAATAGCTGCAATACCATATTTACTCAAATCCAAGACAAGTTTTTTCCCTGCTTGTTCAACATGGGGGAAAAGACCCCTCTCCCTCTTGGATTTTAGTATGGGGAACAGGGGACAGGCAGCTGCTGCAGTTCCAGCTTCAGCCCCAACCTAAACTAGAAGTCGGAGCTGCAGCCTCTGCCCCCACTGCCCTACTCCCCTGCTTACCCAGAGTTGTGGCTCCAGATCTGACTCTAGCCCTGGGCATGGAACTGGCCCTTCTCCCCCCAACCAGGAAGTAGTGGTGACAGCTGTGGCTCCAGCTCCAGCCTTAGGAAGGGGCAGGCACCTAGAGGTGCAGGCTTCAGTGTGAGCAGGTACCAAGTGGTAGGAACAGGGCACAGAGGCAAGCACTAGACTAGTGACTAGAGAGTACAGACACTGGGGGAACTCCCAGGGTAGGGCAAGGGGGACGGGAGGATGTGTGTGTGTGTGTGTGTGTGTGTGGGGGAAATGTCAGTCAGGCTGCTCAACTCCCCCACTACCTGCTTGCCTCTCTGTGCTTTCCCCATTACAGTGGTGAATAGGGGGAGATGAATTTAAGATTATCCAGCAATACTTAGATCCTACATGTGGAAAACTATAACATATTTATAAATTTTCCATGTGTAGAATCTATTAAAAAAGTAATTTTGGATTTGGGTAAATACAGTATTTTTAAAATTAATTATTAATAACTAAATCTCATTACATTCAGATCTTAAATAAGACATTCTACCTCTTGCTTGTGCTACTTTTCAAAAAGTCTTGGGGAATTATTCTGCATTAACACACACAAGCTATTAGAAAGTTTATTTAATTTGCATCTAATTTCATAGTGTTTTCCAATACCATGCTTGTGCCACATACCATTTTCCTCCATAATTTTCTGCTAGAATAGCTATCATTCTCTCCACTGAGCCCAAAATGGCTCGATGAATGATCACTGGCCTTTTCTTATCATCACCATCCTTACTGCAAAGAAAGAAAAAGTTTATAAAAAACTGCCTTAACCAGAACACAAATGATCTTAGTGTATTTTCTATCTACTTATTTTTTTATGCAAAAAATAAAACTAAATATTAGAAAATAATTTAATACCTGGGCAAGACCCAGTAGCTTCTTTTATCTGCTTTAAGGCACATTTGTCATGAAACAAATTATAGTCACATTGGCTTAAAAGAATCCTGCTTGCATACAATAAGAAATGGGTGCAAATGGTTATGAAACCAGCATATTTTGCAACCTCATTCAAACTCTATGACTCTAGCCTATATCTGAGGAGATAAACATATGAAAAGGTAACATTTTTGTTGAGGTTTGAATGATACCCTAATCTTTTTTTGCACAGGATCTTTTCTGTTCCTACTATTTACCATCTAAACCCATCTGTTGAGATATTGGTTTCTGTGGGGCTTATCCTAGTGTGACGACTAGTTGCGACTTCAGTTAAAGAATAAGCAGCAGGATCAGAAAAGATCCTAAAGATCCTATTTCTGTTATTTATAAAACACTATCACACAGGATAAGAAGCAGTAACACAAAATTATACATAGAAAGAAATGACAATGCTTAAGTTACTTTTCAAAGGACAAAACAGTAGTCAGATTGTTCTATCCAAGCAGGAAATGTTCTGTCAAGTTGGAAATCAAAATAAGTTTTCCTCCTCCAAAAACTGTCATATGCAAATATTGTGCATACTCCACAAGGAAAATTTAGGGGGCCTGAGCTGCAACTTAAAAGTCTGAGTCTTGCAAGCTGCTGTGCTTCACCATGTAAACAAAATGTGCTCAGAGATGCCATCACTCCACAGTGACTAAAGTGAAAGCAAGCACTGGAGCAGCTGAACACTTTGATAACATAGGGGAATATGCTCAACTCCAACTATCCATTCAGGAGATCTTCTGCTTCCCCATGCATCTTAAATAGGGTCACGGTTTCTCCAGCAACCAATGTATCATGAGGATTCATTTAACTTCACTTTAATGGGGTCACAAACAGCAAGAGTTGTGAAGAGGCTGTATAGAAAAAGTGAAGATTGTAAGTGAAGATTTAGTTTTTGGCACAAGAATGCCAGCAGAATTGGAAGAAATCAACCACTTACCCAACATACGTAAGATTAAACCTGATTGGTAGCTGGAAGTCAAGTTGGATAGTAGCACACTGATGGTATCTACCAATAGCATCTTTGATTTTGATATCAATCTGTAAAGGAAATCCCAGTGTCTCATTTACTAGCTTCAAGGTTTTGGTTACTCCAAGTCTTTATCCACAAAGTTGTTGTGCGGTTCTGCTAGGTTGCAGAACCGCACTGACTTACTAACCTTTGGACCATAAAATGCTCCATCTCCTGGATTCAACTTCCATGGCTCTCCAAAATCATTCAAGCTGTTTTGTAGTTGCTAATTATAAACCACAAAAGACCAATTTTAAACAGTATAGATAAATCATAATTTGATTTATATAATACATCTTAATAAGCCCTTCTGAGGAGGGTAGGGTATAAATAATAAATAATAAGACCTCTTATAACAGGAAGAGGGGTAACAGGAACAGAGCCGCGCTACTTGATCTTTGAAAGACAAAGGAGTAAATGAATAGAACCAACTCAAACACCTTAGAAATGAGAACTTTATAATGAATATAGCTTAAAAATAATTATTTTTAAAATGTGGATTTGTGCATGTTTAGTCTAAGAAGAAACCAAAGGGAAAAAAAAACACTAGCAGTCAGTTCAAGCAATGGGCCTTCACAAAAATTGGGCAATTTGTCAGCATTTCACACACCTTGACCAGCATGTTTATCACATGCACAGTTTTTAAACCAGCCCTTCAATTCTGACCTATATAAGCAATCCTATTTACTTCAACATAACTAGTCAGCACAAAGGTTTGAACGCTTGCAATTCAGACAATTATTCTTTTTCATGAATGGAAATGCTAAATCTTTGCCTGTATTACCTTTTCTGCATGGTCCCAGATTTCTATTTCCCCTAGGTAATTTTCAGGTCTTGTGGAAAGATGCAATTGGAAGGTAAAACCAAAGACAGCATAAACTGACTGCAAGAAGTTGAGACAGCCCTTCATTTCTTCCTCAATCTGAAAATTTAAGCAAAACATACTAGTTTAAAAACAAATTCAAAATGCTTCCAAGAACTGTTTGTCATTACTGTCGCTTATGTAGAGGTCAGTGTGATAGATGCTACCTTCAGATTTGCCTTTTTTCTTAATCTAATTTATTGTCTGCCTGTCTGCTTATATATAAAAATATAAATAAGTCAATGAAATTGAAAAACCATACATTCTGCAAAGCCAAGAATAGAGCTGTGGTGGCCATGAAGTAGGACAGGCAGTACTGCCTGGTACTAGAACAGAAGCATGTGTGCTTCTCTCATAGTATATTGATTTATTAAAGCGATCCCACTTAAATCTATGGAACTACTCCTGGAAAAATAATGAGCATGATTAGAGGAGTAGGACTTGACTGCTAAACAGCCATTTTTTTCATTAAAGTTTTCCTGGCTAATTATTTAGTCCCCTGGGAACTTGTCCCGGCACAAGTATTTTTAGGCAATAAGGGAAAAAATAAGATGGTATATAAAATATCCCCTATAGATATACAACATCAGGCCTACTCTCGGTCAGTAACATCTCTCAAATACTCACTGCTCTTCTATAAGATAGTGACACTTACATGAAAAGGAAAAAAAATCAGAGAACACCAGGGGCAATTTTGGATAGAGGTGTTAAATTTAAGAGGCTTAAGCAAAAAACACAGAAAGCTAAGATGAATCTTAAGGGAACAATGGAACAAAGAACAGAGACTAAACTACAGCAAGAAATCCTGCATGAAACCACATAGCAACATGTCAGGAGAAGAGGAGAAAGATTGGGAAGTTTTTTAACCTGTTCCATTGTGCAAAAGATGTGAGCATCATCCTGTTGGAAGCGCCTGACTCGCGTCAAGCCACTTAAAGTCCCTGAAAGTTCATTTCGATGAAGAACTCCAAAATCTGCCAGTCTAATAGGCATTTCCCTCCAGGAGCGTGGGCGGTGAGCAAACATCAGGCTAGAAGAGACCAAAAGGATAACAAACACAACCTACATTTTTTTGGCTTCTTTCACCTGTTTTTTTATGCAAGGCCTAAGCAAGAGGTGCATTTTGAAATAAACCAGCTTGAGCCAATCAATAAAGAAAAATAAGTAAAGTATTTATCAGTTATATGGCACTTTCCATCTACTGAACATTTACCATATATTTATGGATTATCTCCACATCCACGGAAGGTAGGCAAGTATATAGTGACCTACAGAACGACAGTGAAACTGAGGTACAGAGAACTGACCTAACCAAAGACCACTTAACAAAGCCTCTATCAGAGTCAGTAGTAGAACTTGGTGGTATCTGGTGCCCCATCCTATGCTCCAACCTCTATGTCATGCTTACACCAAACATACAGTTTATTTAACAACAGTAAACAAGTGAGTTGCAATTAAGAATGTTTTTTTCCCCCCCCGCAGTATGTACTTCATGACAATTGGCAATTTTTTGCCTATGTATCTATATCTGTATCTAGATAGATAAATCTACCCATCTCAAAATAAAAAAGGTAAATTCTCTCAAATAAAAGAAATATGAGAGGGATTTTATGCACTAATACAAATTAGTAATAGTACACTGAAACCAGTATTTAAGCAATGCCTCAAGAAAGTACCAAAACATAGTTAGCTTATGAGAAGAGTCTTCCACTATCAGTGAAACTGAACTGTACTCAATCCAGCATCTCTTGATGCTGGCTCTTAAGAAAGCTGTTTGCTTACTATATAGTAGATTGCACTTAGAAAATGCATACAATGTATGTAAATTTACACTCGCTTCTCTCCCTAAACTCAAAAGAATAAATATAGTAAGATAAGAAAGATAAAACTGTAATGGAGTTGAAAATACAAACCAATGTCCTGGACAGTTCATGGGTTTTAGAGCAAAAGTCTCCTTCTCAACTTCAAACGAGAATATATTTTCACTGTAGTGTTGCCAGTGGCCCGATGCTTCCCAGAGTTTACTATTATAGATATTGGGCGACACTACTTCAGTGAAGTTACGTCTGTGATACTCGCCCTACAAAATAAATCCAACCTTTCAAAAGCTGACACTGTGAAAAAAACTTATCACATGCTTTACAGATCCCAGTGGCTGAATCCTGCAACATTACTTACAACATTTGTGTATGGAAGACAGATCAAGACAATCATGTATGAATTTTGCAACAGGGACTTAGGTATTTAATAATTATATACTGCGATATCAGAATAATTCTTAAACCTTTTTAAAAAAAAATAAATTTAGAATCAAATTATTCACTGAGGTTGTACAGAGATAACTACGGGAAGCTTCAGTGTGTGAATATACACAAATTTTACATGCTTACATTTTTCTGAACAGAGGGCTTAATGCCCTTTTGTGATCAATCAGTGTATTACAGATATTAAGAGCAGTCTAAAAACAACAATACATCAACATATCTGAGACAGAAAAAGTAAATAATTATGTTATTGGAAAATATTTTAAAAGTGTCCACTTACTCGTATAAAATCTGTAAGTACATTGTAAAGGAAGGCACCTCTGGGGAGGAAAAAACAGCTTCCTGGACTCAGATCATGGAAAAAGAAAAGTTCTTGTTCCTGTGTAAATTAAAGCAGAATTCTGTAAGCCTCTCAGCTGTAGTTTCAATTGTTTTCTGTCATCCAATCACTATTATTAACTGACCGTGTTTAAAGTTCCTTGTTCAAAACGATGAAAAATATGGCTAGCAAGAAAAAGTAGTTTACTTGCAATTCTTATTTTCAGTAAGTACGAGAGGAAATTAGAGCTCTATTTCTGAATCTGTGGTTGTCTGAACATACAGTCCCTCAAAATTCTGAACCTGCAAGTAATTGCCACACTGGGAAACACACCCTAATCTGCCAGTGTAGGAGAACATGCATCTGGTAGGAATACACCCCATCACTCACTATAGAAATGCTACTTTGCTAGATTGCAGCTGTAAAATCCTACTGGACTAGGATTATGAGAAAGTACAGTCTCTATCCGAATCACATTCTGAGAAAATGGACTTAAGAGTAGGGCTCTAGAATGTTTCCTTTGCAAAATCTCTGTTAGCAATGTAACGGTCATTAGTTCATCTGTTTTAAAGGGCCAAGGAAGCAAGTGCCAGTTACCTATTTAACAGAGGCTTACACTTTACCATTATACTAAGGATCAATTTATTAATGGCTTGTAAAACCTTTATAGAATGACAAAGGTCCCACATGTGCATGGCAGGACACGACTGCTGAGATCAAGGATCAGGTCCCAATCATGCCCTTTCAACCTGCCAGCACATATCAAGCCTGGGAATCAAGATCTGGGGTCCAATCAGCTCTCTCTGTTCAGCAAGTTCAAAGCTGCACACCAGTAACGTCTTATACAGGGCTTTCAGTACTCTTTCTGGAAGTGTGCAGTGGTGGGAGTTGATTGGCTCCCCCTGCTTGGCAAGTTGAACACAAGCAACATCCTACAGGGATCACAAACTCTTCGAGTACTGGGCAGGAAGATCGAATCAACTCCTCCTGACCAGTACTTGTATCCATTTGAGGACCCTGCCCTGGATCCAATGCAAACAATCAACTGATTGTCAACATGGGAAGCTGGCATGTCCCATATTTAATTTAAGATACTATACAAACCAACCACAAATATGTTTTCCATTATATGTGGAACATCTGTCTGGCTGTTTTGCCATTTTAGGACACCATAACATTTGCTGAAATGAGTGGCACATTGCCATTTATGGCACAATTAACTCATTAATCATGCCAGGAGCCCAAGAACGTTTCAGCAAAGTTGCCTACTTGGTAATTTTTTTAATAAACACCTTTCTCCTATGCTGCCTCTTATGCTTCTTAATCACTTTCAAGTCTGCACATGTATTTTGTGTTCAGTATAAACTTAAGAAATTAGTTTGATCAACACTAGATTGATGGACTGTACACTAACATTATTTTGAGAGAATTAAGTCTTGACTGATTAAAAATACACACGTCTAAGCCAAGAAATATTTTCCAAGGTAAAAGCTAACCTGTAACGTGCCTAGCATTAAAATTAGTAAATTGATGTTCCCTGGATTCAATAAAAAGGGATTATCCCAAGTAAGTTTTATACCAATATTAGCAAAACATACATCAAGTTAACAAATCTAGTTTGCTAGATTTCAGCTGTAAAATCCAACCAACAGTTCAGCAAATTCATAAAACTGATCCCTCATTTATATGTACAGAAGTTGGAACACCAAGACAGTAATCGCTTAGGATAGTCCCAAAAAGAATACATAGGAGTAACAGAATTATGGGCATGTCTACATGTGCTTTTATGTGCACATTAGCCTAATGCGCATTAAGGCAATTTAGGAGTGCGTCTACATATGCTAAGGTGCATTAATGTGGATGTACAGACTGATTTGGGACTAAAGTTAGTTTCCTACAGCAACTTAGCTTATTCATGCATACATTTGATACCTGCCTTATGCAGGTATCAAATTTAGGCTTGAATAGCCTAAAATCACCATTTTTAAGGCACATTAAGACCGTAAACCTGTAGATGCGTGCCCTTAATGCACTTAAAATTGGGCTAAAGCACATTATGTGTACGTGTAGATGCGCCTCATATTAAACAAAGGTTTAATATGCTGAATCGCAGGAATGGATGGGGGGGGGGGGGGGGCGGGACTGAGAAGGGGCCGCCCGATAAATCAACTAGAATTGGATATGGCAGGGGGGGGGGGGGGGGGGGGGGGGAAGGCCATACAAGGTGGATCCATGAATCCATGGAATAGCATACCTTTCCAATTTTTCTATGATCCCGGTTTCTGGCTTCTTCTTGGAATTTTTCCCATTCCTTCATCATTTTGCTATCAGGGAAGGATATTCCATAGATTCTCTGCAGAGTTTCCATGTCAGCCTTTCCTTCCCAATATGTACAGGAATTCTGATGTTCAAAAGAAACATTTTTTAAAACAATATCATATAATCACTGCTAGGAGAAAATAACAAATGCTAATGCAATCTAGTTTCTTAGGAAAGAATTGCATCAAGTCACCCAGGCTTGGTTTAAGAAAACAAACATACCTGCACTACCTTTTGGTTGGTATACTAACGGACAGAAAATAAGTGATTGTTCTAGTCATGTCTTTGTTATAATTTGCCACATTAATTTTAACTTGCATCGTGTCATCCTGGGCTACAAAGACAATCATCACACGACTGCTGCCTACGTCCAGATTTGCAACCAGGGACTCTCAGAAATCACTGTTCTTGTCCCCACCACCACTTGTCCATCGCCACAGAACTTAATTTGTGGGAGGACCCAAGTAACTATAGGCCTGTAAGCCGCACCTCGGTGCTCGGGAAGCTCTTGGAGAAGATCATCAAGGAGTGTATCTGTGGGGGGCCTGCAGAGGAGATCATGCTCAGGGGCAATCAGCATGGGTTCACCAAAGGCAGCTCCTGCACAACCAACCTGATTGCCTTTTACGACCAAGTAACTAAATCCTTGGATGATGGTGTCGCTGTGGACGTAGTCTTTCTAGACTTTAAGAAGGCCTTTGACACTGTCTCTCACCCCATCCTCATCAATAAATTAAGTGACCGCGGCATTGATGCCTGCACAGTTGGATGAGTGAAAAATTGACTGATGGGGTGCACCCAGAGAGTAGTGGTGGATGGGTTGTACTCAACCTGGCGAGATGTGAGCAGTGGGGTACCCCAGGGCTCGGTCCTTGGGCCCGCACTGTTTAACATCTTCATCAGCGACTTGGACAAGGGGGTGGAAAGCACGCTGTCTAAGTTTGCTGATGACACTAAGATGTGGGGTGAGGTGGACATACTTAAAGAGAGAGAGAGATTTAGACAGACTACAAAAGTGGGCAGATGAGAATAGGATGTCCTGCATCCAAAGGTGCATCTCAAGCCGGTCCAGAAAGGTGATCCTCCCCCTCTATACGACTTTGGTCAGGTCGCAGTTGGAGTACTGCGTCTAGTACTGGGTGCCGCACTTCAAAAGGGATGTTGCCAGCCGGGAAAGGGTTCAGAGGAGGGCCACCCACTTGGTGAGAGGGCAGCAGGACAGGCCTTATGAGGAGAGACTGAAGGACCTGAACCTGTTCAGCCTCAGCAAGAGGAGGCTGAGGGGGGACCTGGTGGCTGCCTACAAGCTCATCAGGGGGGATCAACAGCAAATAGGCAGAGCTCTTTTCTCCCCAGCACCCGCTGGGGTGATAAGAAACAATGGTCATAAGCTGATGGAGAATAGGTTTAGGTTGGAGATCAGAAGGCAATATTTTACTGTTAGGGTGGCCAAAATCTGGAATCAACTTCCCAGGGAAGTGGTCCTCGCCCCTACCTTGGGCAAATTCAAAAGGAGGTTGGATGATCACCTGTCTGGGGTCTTGTGACCCCAGCATTCATTCCTGCCTGTGGCAGGGGGTCAGGCTAGATGATCTGTTCAGGTCCCTCCTGACCCTAGCTACTATGAAACTATGAAACCCTGCAAATTGATAAGTCCTGGCTGCTAGTAGGTCTCAGTGTTGCTGCATCATACATCAAGCTACAACCCATTTGGAAGAGAACTGTCTTGCTTAGAAAGCCAAGAAATGGCAGAGGAGGAAGGAAAGCACACAACATCCTGGCCAACAGTTGTGCCTGCCCCCCAACCCCGCAAGAGGCACCATTTGTCATATCTGTGGAAAAACTTGGAGAACACAGACTGGACTCCTCAGCCACCTTAAAATTCAGAAGTAATACCCCCCCAGCAGACATCCTCATATCGAGGAATGGCTGATGATGACTGGGTTACATCATATTATAAAATTGAATGTAAAACAAATGTTGTAACTTCACATCATAATGCAGAACAGCAATCAGAAATAGAAAGTTATTTTTACATACACTCTTTTTCATAGTCAAATCATGCTACTTGTTTTGATGATCAAAGAGTCTAATTATTTAATGCCAAGGAAGGATTGATCTCAAGGTGACAAAGCAAAGGGATGCTGAATACCTGAAAGCAGGGTATCATTGCCAATAACTTATACATGAAGACCATTGCTATCTGTAAATGTTAACTGGCTATTTTGTAAGTAAAGGCACTTTAAAAAAGCAGTTCAGGGCGGGCATTAGTAAACCAGCAAGACTTGCCCTCAGAGGCACCTGGAAATATGTGAGAACATCAGTTTGAATTTACAAAAACAAGCTTCTTGACTGCCTTTTGTAGACATGACTTTGAAAATTTACAAGTGATATAAACTAAGGTTTGGGAACTAGTCACTGATTTTCCCTAAAGACTATAGATTATTTATAGCCCCTTCAGAGCCATCCAAGCCTGGCCTTTAGGGTTTGGAAAAGACATGCCTATAGGTCCTTTGATTATTCACCCTACATGAATTTCACTGTGCATCAGGGATAGCTACCTCAACACTGTGGGATCCATGGAGACAACAAGAAGTAGCTGACTGAATATGGTTTTGTAGTACGCTCACGTTCCACCCAGTTAGGTTTAATCAGCTCCCCTAGCCCCAGAATCCCAAAAGGTATCCTGGTTGCTGGTTAGCTCTAATACTTAATCCATATCTAGGCTTACCTTAAATATTTTTAAAGCCTTAATTTTTCCAGTATGTCTCACATGTGGCCCTCTGCAAAGATCAATCAATGGACCACACCTATCAAAAAACAGCAACATTTTTTAATGTAAAAGATCTGAACATTTTAAAACAGTAATAGGGTCTAAGAGATGTGACTGCCACATACAAGGTATAAGTATACCTTCAGCTGTTTAACTGTGCTGCACGAGATCTATTTGCAGCCGTACAATAGGAAAAAATGTTCTTGTACATCAATTAACTTGAACGATATGAATCTTATCTAGCACTCTGATAACAGAGGCAGTTAGTATGTTCATCCATGTTAGTCTGAAATCAAGTAGAAATTAGGGTAGAGCTGCATTTTACAGACTAACCAACGTAGATGTCGATGTATAGAAAAAACAGATAGCATAACCATTACTGTGGTTCAAGTTCCATTTGAACAATTTATTTTATTCCTCTCACTGAAACAGGAAGCAATTTTGGAACAGAGATTTCCTCCTCTATTTCCCAAAGGAGACAAGATTTGGTTTTGTAGAAGATGTATCTTGTTTTAGGCAGAAGCTACAACTGAACAAAACTAAAAATACTAACTGTAAATCCGGGTTCCAGTCCTGCAAATATTTACGTATATGCTTAACTTTTAAGCAGGCGAGTAAACCCATCAACTTCAGCTAGACTATTCAAATGCTTAAAATCAAGCATGAGCATAGCACTTTGGTTTAAAAAAAAAACTGAATCTTTTTTAAGTCTGACATGTTAACATAGGGTGAATCCCTTCCCCCAATTTAGATAACATCTGTCATAATTCCCATGATCCCCAATTACAGAAATATAGTATAAGTAACTTACGTATCCTGTTACCTGTATATTGTGGTAGTTGGCGTGTCAACTTTTTCATTCAGGATACGACATTTAAACTTGTTATACTAGGTCAGAAAGAAAAAGAACAAAAGGGAGAACTCGAATGTCAATAAACTACAACTATGTCCTAGTATAACAGCAGCAATTGCATCTACATTGGCATAAGCCAGGCAGCAACTAAAGAGCAACACAATCAAATACAGCTGAGCAAGTCTGACTTTCCAACCAGAAGACAGTCATAAAACAGAAACAGCTTAATTTGACTGCAGGTGTAGCAATTATGCAAAGCATTTTAGTGCCAAATGCTAAACTCCTATTGATTATTTTTATTTCCATATTGAAATTAGCATGTTTTAGTGGATGAGAAACTGTTTTATGATTATTGTTCACCTAGAGCATTTCTGAGGGGTCCTACTAAAAATATAATGTCCTGTTTTAAAGGTTTTGAAAACGTATTATTCCACATGATGGCTACTCCAAGTCTTATAGCTCCTTTAAATAGTTACCTTAAACATATCTAACAGAATCTCCTTGCTGACTTCTAGTCTTTCAAACGACTGCTTTTCTTTAATGATATTTTTACATCTGTTCTCCAGTGATGGGAATTCTGTACTAGAGACACCCCTAAACAAGAAAATGGACAAGAGTTACTGTGCCATTAAAAAACAAAAAAGGTAAGTCCATTAAGCTAATTACCTATACCGAGAAGCCACACACAAGGCCTATGTCACCCTATCTATCAATTCAGGTTCTATATTTTGCCTGGGTATAGGCAAATTAGAGGTAAAATGTAGATAAACTGAAGAGCTGCACAAAAGTATTATACAAAGGGTAAGCACCTAAGGGCCTTATGTCCCAGTTCCAAAACAGTTCTGGAAACTTAAGAGCTAAAGTTCCAAAGACTTGCAGTGAAATTGACTCTGAAATTGCCTAAGTGCTTTTGTATATTTCACCCAAAAGCTCTTCCAAAAAGCTTTCAACATGAAAAATCCTGCACCTTAAGACTTGCACAAGTTTTCCTTAAACCAGTTCCTCTTCCTTCCAAAAAAGTTACAAAGGGAAGACTAACTTATCATAAACCTAATGGACTAACCTACATTTGATTATGATTTATTTTTTCACATGAGGATAAAAATCTAATTTAACATAAGTACTGAAGTAAAAACCCAAAGAAACATTACCTGTCTTCAATATACATGTCATAATAAAATCCATTCTCAATAGGTGGCCCATAGCACAAACAGCCTCCATAGTAACTCTCCATAGCTTCTCCAAGGATGTGAGCACTTGAATGCCAGTAAACCTACATGCCAATAATAGATGTCAATGGAACATACCAGGAGACAACCTCTTAATTTTATATGTAAAAAAACCCAAAGCATTCCAATGTAAAATAGATGTTGGCTTAAAGCCAAGATTTTAAAAATCTAGATAGAAGATGCTGACTCTGTGTTTATTTCCACCGTGCTAAATTATTAGTACCTATATTCAATAACTCAAGCTGATAAATGCTGGTTCTAACATACAGCTGTACCATTCTAGCCGTTTTATTCCAGCTTGCTTGGTGATTAAGTTTCTTACATGATGTAGCCATAACAATCTTTATTTTCCATTTTGTTAATTTATAAATAAGCGTGATTATGGCCATCTCAGCGTTTAATTTATAAGGAAATATTACGCATATTTACAGCAACCTGACTGACTAGTATAAGTACCATGGAGTACATACGATTAGCTAATGACCAGAATTTCAGTAGGAGCTACCTGCGATTACAGGGCACTGGATTCAGTGACTCAGGAGGTCTCTTCCAGCACCATGCCCTAAGTCAGTGATGCTCAACCTTTTCATCTAGTGGATTAAATCAGCAGTGCCAAGTCCCTCTATGGGCTGGATCAGGCCAGTGGACCCAATCCTGTGCCCAGGGCAGGTCCAGTGATGTCTCATCTGGCCACCGGTGGGGGTGGGCAGCCCCAAACCAGCCATGCAGGGAAAGGGGCCTATCCCAACCCCAACTTGGCCCCATGGAAGTGGAGAGGAAGTATAACCCAGCCCCAATCCAGCCACAAGTGGAGAGGAAGGGGCATAACCAGACCCCATGAGAAGGAGACATGGCCCAGCTCCATAAGGCTGGTGGGGATGAGAAGGGTACACCCCAATTTGGCCAGGTGGAAGACAAGGGGGTGAGGCCCAGCCCCACAACAAGGGAAGGGGCTTGGCCGAGCCCCAAACTGGCTGGGCAAAGGGAAGGGAGCATGACCCAGCTCCAATCTGGCTGTGCAAGGGGGGAAGAGGTAGTGGCCCAGTTGCAACCTACCACACAGGGCTTGGGAGTTTGGCAGCAGGGAGGTATTAGCTGCCACTACTCCCCAGCCTCCAAGTTTCCTGGCCCATAGGGAGCCCCGCGGGCCAGATGCCAAGCCTCCATGGGACAATTTAACCCACAGAGCAGTGGTTAAGCACCCCTGCTTTAAATCCCTGTTATCTGAGGTCATTTAAGAATCACTTTTTCATAGTACAACTATTAGCTTTTGAACTGCTTTGAATGAAGGTAGGCTTTAAATCTGGAAACACTTGTTCATGTATTTAACGTTAGAGTGCAATCCAACTGTACTCAATGGAACTACTCTCCAGCCTGTGCTTAGAACTTACTGCAATAAAGTCTTAACCCCATGATAAAGTTCAGCTTATACTTTATGCACATTTATAGTTGCACCGAATGGTATGCACAGGACTGATGTGGTCTTCAGCTAAGGGAGGAGAGGCAGACTTTTTATTTTTAATGTAAATTTATAATCTGGATGAGTTTTTAATAAAAGGACTAATTAATATACCCCCGCATCATTCTAATAGCTAAGCCTAAGAATATGTATGACTGTTCCCTTTGAGTCAAATTCTTAGACATTTTATGCACAACATAAGAGAATTTTTTTAAATATCACACAGGTTTTACTTTAGCACGCAGATCTTGTTATTTTTCAGTCAAGCCTATGCATTCTTTTTAAAGATGTTCTTTTAATCAAGTAGAACTTGATAAATTTGTTTACTTACAGCCTGAGCTTCTTCATTATCAAATGTAAGCAGTTCAAGTGTGCAGTCTCCTTCCAATGGACGATCCATATCCCACAATTCACTGTTCACTTTGGCTATCACTGCATTTTCTGCCAATCCTTGACTTTAGATGAAAGTAAATACACAAATCCTGAAGTCATTTGAGGCCAGATTTTTAGATGCGTTTTGTAACCCAACACCTTTAAAAACTGGCTCTTTGGCCTTTACATATTTTTCAAACACCTTCCATATTTGAGGCAAAGTCAGTAAACTCTCTAGTAGTTCACTCTCCAATCCTTTCCTATAAGCTTCAGAAGTAAAGGTAAATTCTGCTTACTGCATACAATCCTTGATTGTACAGTTATTTAATATTCCACACGATTTCAAACATCTGGGTTACTTTCTTACAGATTCATCCATTTTAAAAGCTAAAAGGGGCCATTGGAATCAGAGGCTGACCTCCCTCTATAGACTTGGACAACCCAAGATGCTCACCCCATAATTTCTACATTAAGACCAAATCTACTGAGGTATCAGTAAAGCAAGGTCAAGATAAAAAAAGTCACCCACTCTATGTCAGTGAGCTTAAGTGCTCAACTAGCAGGGGGAGGGGGAGAGAATCATACTACCCTGTAGAATTCTAATATTATAAAAGTCTTAGTCTGTCTGTTCGTAATGCTTTATTCGCGCTCTGGTTGTTTCAGTCAGCCAATCTATCAGAGTGCTCCAAGAGTGTTTGGACAGGAGACGGTGCAGCAGAGCACTGCCACAATGGCGGGGACAAAGGGGATGGAGCAGGGGAAGGGGCTCCGACAAAAGCTGGCAGGGAAGGAGAAGAGGGAGGGTACGGTGAGGGTGCCCTGCCACAGCTGGGCCCTGACAACAGCTGGAAGGGGAGGCAGGTGGATGCGGGCCAGGCAGACCCGAAGCGGGGGAAGGGAGGAACAGGCCTGGACCCAAGGAGGGGGAGAGGGAAGGAGCTGGAAACAGGCCTCTGCCCACCCCCTCACATTCTTGATGGGCAATTGGCTAGTGCTTTCCTAAGTAAGCATGTTTAGATCTGCAGTTTACCTAATTCCTGCACCTATTTGATAAGGTGTGGTTTTCCAAGATTCCCCTTCAACCACATTCCCATCAGTCAGAATTATTTTGATGGGTCTGTTCTCACTGGCTGCTCTGTAGGAAAGCAAGGCATCGTGTTCTTTTTTCAGTGTTTCATAAATCTTCATCCTGTCTTCTATGAAGTCTGGCTCATAGCACAGCTGTAAAAATCATCAAAATCATAAACGTACATACATCTGTTTTTTAAAAGAAAACAAAGTAAGAGAGCAATTATAATATCATTGCTGATATTCTAATCAAAAGATCAGATATTAATGACTATCATGACCTTTTTCAAGTTTTTTTTCAAATATGTTATAAAGATGGATATTAAAACATTTTAAAATGCACTACTGTTTTGGACAGCACACCTTCTCACCCTTCACCTACATCTTCCTTTCTATAATTTCTCACCTAGCAGCACCTGCCCTCGATACCTTCAAGAATTAACAACGGGGACCAAGGTATTTCACCTCAGCGCTCAAATCGTCTTGCCACACACACACGCTTACTTTTGCGTGTTGTAGCTAGTCCTGTGTGATCAGACCCTCTCCCTGTAATGGCAAGCACTCCTCCTGCAACTAGATATCTAACAAGAGTAAAGAAAACCTGCCAGTTTATTGTGTTGTACACATCATGCAACAAAGAAGTACTGTCCATGAACCAAGTCAAGACTTACCAGTAATAACTTTCCTTTGAGACAGTATAAAACAGCTGCTTACCTCACCCCTAAGTCCATTCACAACTTCATTTTCCTTTTTCTTTTCCCTTTTATTCTTGCTCTTGGCAGGAACTGGGTTTGTAGCAGAGACGTCCTAGAGAGAGAGGATTAGACGCTGTCAAATCGACTGTACTGAAGCCAGCACCAGCGAAAGAACATGGCCTGGTGATGGGCTGTGCCAGGGCTGTCCCCTTCCAGGTTGCTTGTGATTGAAGCGTGGTCCTGGGGCTCCTACCCGGTTGCGGACCCCCCATGGCTCCGGGGGGCTCCAGGCTCCCCCTCCGGCCTTTGCTCCAGGGGAGGGGTTGGTGCAGCAGGACCAGCGCTGCTGCAACAGGGGAGCCCGCAGGGTGCCGGCGTGACACAGTCCGAGAGGGAGCTGGCAGCGGGGGAGCCAGGGTGCATGGGGTGGGGTGCAGCAGGGTTGGGGTGGGGGTCCAGGCACGTGGTGCAGTGAGGCGGGGGGGCGGGGGGGCTTGCTGGTGCCCCAGCCGGGCAGGGATGAGTACAGAACCAGCCGTCACCAGGGCTGAAGGCGCTTTGCCCTGGACAGACACCTCCTACCCTGGGGGCTGCCCACGTGTCTCCCCACTGCTCGGCATCAAACCCGTGCCGGAAGGAGGCGGCTCCGGGCCCGAGCGCCGGGCGCGCGCCCCGGCCCCGGGCCCCGCGC